CAGAAGAATTACTTTAGGACTCACAACAGATTGTAATTTGTCAGTTACACTCTATATCCCTTCTTTTAGCCCCATTTTACTTAAAAGTTTTTATTGCCTGTATCCCCACTAGGATGGAAGCTCCATGAGGGCGGGAATTTAACCCATTTGTTCACTATACCAAGAATAGTATCTTGCACACAGTTGTTTCTTAATAAATATTTGCTCAATAAATGAATGAATACATCTATATATATAAAGAGGTAATATGCTAATTGGTCCTAACAGTGTCCCAATCACGACTGGTCAACAGGCTGTGCATGCACAGGAGCTGGTGGGTGGGGACAGGAGCGGGGACTTGGGCAGGGACACAGGAGGGGGGTGGGGGGGGGCTTGCCTGGAGCAGACACAGAAAGGGGGCCATGCCCTAGCTGCCGCGGCAAGGCTTGAGCAGTCCTGGAGTGGATCTATTTAATTCCCTTTTAATGTGCATGAAGTTTGTGCACTGGGCCCCTAGTAAATAAATAACAAGGATGAATAATCTTGGGACACGTTTTAGAAAAGAAGCCTTGAGATACAATCCTTACATTAGTGGCCGTGACAAAAAGAGTTCGATGTAAGTTGGGGAGTGCATTGCAGGCCCCTCCTTGTGGTGCCAGAATATCTAAGGACGGCTATAGTCCTTTGGTGGGGCAGATCCTGGGCCAGGAGAAAAGAGATTCAGGATCCTCATCAGCACAGAGGTATGGCTTATTGAGAGGACTACTGTATGAAATCAAACAATGGCCTCATACCAGCTATGCGTGAACACTGCATGATGGGAAATGACTGATAAATATGGTATGCAGTCCAGGCTGCAATACTCCTGACTTTAGAGATCTCAAGGGGAATGAAGATATTGGCAATGGTTTTCATAATGCCACAAATAGTGCTGCTTAGTTGCTTTGTTTTTATCACCATCATCATCATCATCATCACCACACAATATTTTATATATTTGAAAGGCACAACTTAAAAAGAATTTTAGACCTACCTAGGATATTTTTTCCTATTCTTGAGTTGTTATATAAGTACCAAGGAAGTAGATAATGATTTTCTGAGACAAAAACCACAGTGCCTAGTGGCTGTATTTTTCTTAATCTTGATGGTACTGGACTAAATTTTAAAGCATGTGAAAAATTATCTTTTAGTTAAAGCACTGTTCACTTACTATTTTGTTTACTGTTTCATCATCTATATTATTTCCTGAATGGCTATGGGGTAAATGAAGGCTACTCAGTTTTGTTTAAAGTTGTCTGGACTTCTCAAAGACACTTCTCTCCAGGAGATTGCTGATTTCATAACACACTTCCCTCCAGGAGATTATGAGATTGGCAGAAACCTAATTTGATGATTGGGAAGAAATTACAGATTTTTCTTAAGTGGTTATTAACAGATAAGCAAGATGTCTGTGACACTTCCTTTTTGCAAAATTTGATTTTTGAAAATGGGATTCAGCTCTTTCCCCTTTGCTTTTAGATACTTTATTTTTTATTACTGAGCTTTCTCTGATAGTCACTTTACTTTTCAGTTCTAAAGAGTCTGTGGGCAAAGATATTAGAAAAGCAAGTAAATCACCATGATGTTCTATATATTACCATTGCAAATAATTCCTTGAGCAAGAACTCTAGACTAATAAATGAAAGCATGTGGATCATTTAGAAAGGTTTTCTTTGTAGAACCAATTGCCTGGGAATTGAAAAATTCAAAGTGCTTTTTCATGATGTTATTTGAATTCATTAAAAAAAATTCACTTCATTTAGACCTGTTTCTGTGTCTCGTCAATTTGTCCTCCTGAGAAAGAACTGGAGGATATTGCACTTTGGGAAAAATTTAATTAAGTCAGTTCACAAAGGAACGCTAGAAGATAAAATTCCTTGGGCCCCATCCTGTTGGCTTTGCGGAAACAGCAGGAGGTGAAGCTCAGAGGCAGCCCCCAGTCTGCAGAGCAGAGCTCCCCTTGCAGGCGGGCAGGAGCAGGAAGGCTGGGGAAGTGAGGCCGAGGTCAAGGTCACAATGGATTCTCTTAATTCAATGCAGTTCCAGGTAGCTAATACGTGCAAGGTGTGTCAGGAGTATTAGTATTTTGAGCCTTAGGCAATCAGATCTGAGGGCTCATTCTGTTCATTCATAATGTGGATTATATTTTACTAGAGGCCCAGTGCATGAAAATTCATGCACGGGGGGGGGGGGGGGTGGGTGCCCTCATCCCAGCCTGCCCCCTCTCACAGTCCAGGAGCCCTCAGGAGCAGGAGGTGACTTGGCAATCACGGAAAGGCAATGCCCCCATCACACCTCTGCTGCTGCCACCGCCGGCAGCACAAACCTTGGCAGGCCCTGGTTACCTGAGCCTCGGTAACCAGCCCTAGGCAGCTGGCATCCAAGGCTTGCTTATGCCTTGGGCCAGCCCTGGGCAGCTTGGGGGCTGAGGTTGACTGGGGGACTCCAGAGGCAGGCACGTGGAGCAGCCGGGCCGCCTTGGGGATGAGGGGACTGGGCGCTACCATCTTGTGGCTGTAGGTGCCGCCATCTTTGAGGGCGGGGCATCCAATTAGCATATTCCCTCCTTATTGGCTGTGGGCACTGTCATCTTTGCGATGGCATGAAGGTCAATTAGCATATTCCCTCTTTATTAGATAGGATAATGTGGCTAAGACTTGATTATTTGCACATTCTAGAAGGTATAGCTCCTGCTCTGAACATTTAAAGGAAAACCTCTATAGAACTCTGAACATTAAACAGAGAATTACTACAGGTAAGTCTCATAGAAACAAAGAAATCATTCTATGATCATGGTTTTAGAATGATATATTGGAATGATTATCACATCGGCAATTTAATTAGACTATTGTGGCAAGCACTGAATATGGAGGAGTGGCACAGAGAACTAAGTGTGTACTTTATGACCCAGCAGGCTAGCCTAGCAATAAATAAAACACTTTTATTCAGGCCTTACAGGAACATAAAGTGTGTGTATGGAAAATAATACAATAATTAATAAATAATAATGCTAGAATAAACTCTGTGTTTTGGGTACTCACAAATATAACCTTACTTTTGCCCCACCCTGTATACACCTCTCTCATCTATTTATATCTATCTCTATATCTTTATATATAAGTATAGAAAATAAAGACACAAACATACCCAAATAAGACATAATGGTCACAGAAAGTATCTGTAAACATTAATGTTAACTTGTGGACATACATTGATTTTAAACACATCCTTACTTTAAATAGCTTTGATTTTCTGTCTAGAAGACAAAAGAGAACATTAATTGCTATCACTTACTAAGTTTACCTAGTTGAATGTTAGCGCCTCTAAAGAACGAGTCAATACTCATTACTTTTCCATATTGGAAGATTAAAGGAATAAATGATCCTTTGAAACTAAAACTGAAATTCTCAGAAATATCAAGAAAATATTTTGCTCAGTCTCACTTTAATAGGCACTGAACAGAGATCATAAAAGCCTTTTGACATTAAAGTGAAAGGTTGTTGGTATATAATGTGACCCACTTAATTAGGATCTGCTTTATTTGTAACAGAGTAGATATAAAACGTATTTTGCTGCTTTCAAACTTTAGAAACCCCATATATTTAACATGAATATAATCAAAATGAGGAGAAGCAAAATACCTGGAGTTAGGCTGTGTGGTGGGGAAGGTACCACTTACTCTAATACAGTAAAACCCCTACACTGCCAGCAACAGCACAGCATGTCCCAGAAATCTTTTGGATGGCAATACACAGCAGCTTATTTATTAAGCTCTATTCAGCTTAAACCGAAGGAAAACACACCTTTATTAGTAAAGCTGAAGTTGAAGCATGATCAGAAAAGTCGTCATAATGTTTCATTATCCCAGATAAGAAAGTCCTTTCCCTAATTTTTTTTTTGGAGGGAGGGGCGGGTGGTTAAATTCTAACAACAAGGATACTAAGGTTAACCAGGCAAAGGTTAAGTGGAGGACTTCCTAAGGCACCTTTTAATTTGCTCTGGTACCAAATCCATAGGAAAACATGTATGTGTCAGAATGTCATGGAAAAATTAAAATCTCAAAGGGTTCAAAATTAACAGCTAAAACTCATTTTTTGAATTGGAAAGCACAATATACTATTTTCGGAGAAAAAGCATAAGACTTGCGCACGTTAAAAATGATTAGAGAGTTAAATTCTAATGTTTTTACAGCCTTGCTTTTAGTATTTGGCTGCTTTGGTTCTACAGTAAGATTTTTGCAAGCCTATAAGAAAGAATACTCAGAATGCTTTTTGTTGTTTGTGTGCTTCCAGCATAGATAACTGATAGCTGATGACATTCAGGTTATAGGTTAAATCTGAGGCCTTATTGCACATCCAGGGAAAATTACTTTTTGCATAACACATGGTACAACCTCCAACTCCTAAAAGGGCAGAAGGAGTTCAGATATGGACATTTACATACACTCTTAAAAAGACCAGATTATACTTGCTCTGAAATAACTCCATAAAGGCATTTCAAGATTTACTTCTCCATTATACCACAAAAATGCTTAGCAATAAATTCTAACATACTTAGGTGTTTCTAAGAGGAGAAACTATTCTTTTTTTTTGTTTGGCTATTTAAAAGATTATTATAGCATCTCTAATATATGGAGAATATTAGGGAATGTATACACATTTCCCATGTGTCTTCAATAAGAGATGTTTCAACATACTGTACTGAGTTTTCCTCATTCCTTTATAACTGCAGCATAATTAAAATAAACTAAGGTAACTCAATGTAAATTCAATCTGATCTGAGAAGGAAGCTGCACATAAGACTAAATCAGATACAAAAGTGTTTTCTAAAATAGGATTAAGCAGCGTTTCAAATCACCTACAATCAATTCTCATGGGACACTGTTGTCGAAATGATACTGACTTAAGAAAACATTTTTCTTATGGAAAAATAATAAGTCAGAGCTTGTCACTTATGTTATCCAAGACAAGTTTGGTGATTACCCTGTAAATGAACATCGATTTTTGTGTAGACTCCAATATTTCCAATCTCTGAGAAACTGTTCTGGTGTCCGGAATGTCCAATTGCAGAATTATGGCAAATATCTTTTAGTGAAGTGGTTGCTTCCCTGAGAAAACAAAGAAATTGCTTCACATATGAGTTTTACCAGACTATTTTCTAAGACTAGTTTTAATGCAGCAGAGGAAAAGAAAACAAAAAAAAAGCCCAAACCTCAAAACCTTATACTATATTTATTGTTACTGGCTACCCACAAGGTGGCACTAAAGAGAAAAGTGACAAAAGCGAAGATCACAGGCAACTTTTATACCAAATAAATTCTATTATGAGAATTAACCCTATTTCATGACATGACCATCCAAATCTTAACATGCTAATAACTCAAGACATTTATATGCAGGTTCCTTGCTTTTTTAATGTAAAAAAGTTTCATTCAATCAAATAGCTGGTTATTTTCAAAAGTTAGTAGTTTGAATATTTCTGTGTAATAGTTCTTTTGTGGGAAAATTTTTCTTTCCAGACACAGATTCCTAATCATTATATGTTATAGATTATGACCACTTCTTTTTTATGTTTTGTAGAGTGCCAAGAACTTAATGCTTTTAATATAAGTGTAAAAAAAAACCCATTTAACATCATATTTGTAGTATAATGATACATATAAACTTTTAATATTTATAACGACAAATAAATAACTTTTAAACCACCAATAAAAAGGCGTTTTAGCCAAAGACTGTTTGAATTCCAATAATTTCTATACATATTTCCAAATACCTATTTCACCTACTTTTCAGGATACTCAGAGAGTACTTCCTGGATGTGAATGGGGAAATGTTCTCAGAAAATTACACACAGAGAAAGAAGAAATGGTATGATTTTGGCATAGCGTTGGCATAAAATCCTGAAAGTAAAGAGTCACAAATGATCCTTAGTAATAGCTCCCAGTGGTAGAAGGAACTAGGTCTTCTCTAGCAGACATTTCTGATTATGAGCAAGAAGGTATAGACCATTAAGAGTCTATTCTTCAGTTTACAATTAAGAGGTGTGTTATGCATAAACAGTCCTATAACTTTAAAGGAAATATTATAATTCATCTATTTTCTTAGTTTAGAAGTAGGAATTCAATGAGTTGAAAACCAATGCAATTTTTAGTTTTACTATTATTGTGTACTATATATATATAGGTTTCAAAATATTTTCTAACAAAATGTGTTGTTTCTCATTCTGAAATGATTGTATTTTTGACTAGAATACTGACTCAGAAAACCTGTATAATATGTAAAATACAAAAATCCCACTCTAGATCAAAATCAGCTCTCAAATAATCACATTCAGGTATATAACCTCAAGATTATTGATATTTTAATATCTAAAAGAGAAAAACTTTACCATATCTCTCCAAATATCTTCATCAACCCATTTACAATGATCATTTGCTACTCAAATTTAAGAAAATATTGTAATTACCTCATTTAAATAGTGATAAATATTTAGTGATAAATATCTATATATCTGTCTCTCTGTAGGTTTTATAAGATAAACAATGTGTTTTATTATTAAATGGAAGAAGAGTGAATAATTTTATATCTTTATATGACTATACATTTATATACATGTGAGTGTGTGTCTTTGTAGTGGATACTTTTCATGGTTTGAAAGAGGTGTCGCCACTTTCATTTCATGTAAATTTGAGTTGTCAAGTAAGCCTGGGTCAAGGATATAATTTTTTAATGCATTCAAGAGGTAAGATTTCTAAGGCATATAAACCGTTTGTTCCACCGAATGAATATAAGCTTTAGTAAACTCTTTCAACTACTTAGTTCTCAATCCAGGATGTATAGCACTTTCCTTTTTAATTTCTGTCAGTACTTTATAAAATTATAACTATTTTTTTCTGCTTAGGATCATATTACATTTTCTCTATTCATTTCATTTAACAAATACCCACATCACACTCATCATGTGCCAGGCACAATGAGGGTGGAGACCACAGCTGTTGGGTTCAATGCTATAGCTCTAGCACTCTGCCTAGCACTGACTTCATAAATTATGCAGCAAATATCAATTATGCAACAGAGAGTTGACATGTAGCTTACCTTTCAGGAAGTAATATGGAATAATGATTAAATGTACAGGTAAAGAAGTAATTCTAGGTTGGAATTCCAGTTCTGCTACCTACAAATTAAATGACTGGCCAAATCATTTAATTTTTCTGAGCCTCAGTTTCCACATTTGTCAAATGAAATAACAGCATTGACCTCATGAGGTTATTTTCATGATTAAACCAATATAACTTACACAGCCTAGACAAATACCTGATGCAAGGTAACCCCTTGAAAAATCTTTGCCATTATTATTATTAATTCTTTTTGCCATATTTATTTAGAAACATAGATTTGAACAATTTAAATTCATGGTAAAAACAATATTGGTATAGTTAGTAGTATTTCTTGAACGCTGTTCAAATGGACTAGTTCAACAGAAACACCTCCGGAAAGTTACCCAATTTCTTTTCTGCTTGTAGAATTTCGCGTATATCATGTTTGCAAGTTTCATACATAAATTGCAAACGTTTCTATGATACATTCTTTGCCTTTTTATGGAACTTTCTTACTGAGATCAAAAACCAAAGTGCCCACAGTGAACACTGAAGAGTTCTAATCTAGTGTTAGAACCCCCAAACAATAATACAGTTTTCCTGAGATCCTAATTCTCTCCTCTCTGGATATAACCAATGGTAGAATTGGGAGTACACTGTGGATATTTGGTTATCCTTCTCCTTATATGTGCCATAAAATACTCTTTTTACGCTGTAAGACTGGTTCTGTTTTGGTGTAAGATTAATGAGGAGACTTTCCTAGGGTTAGTAAGATGTAGTTTTTAATAGATTAGAAAGTGTTTTCCTTTTACTGTTCACCTATTTTTATGTGAGAAAAAATATGATCAAATTTAGATATAATTCCATTCAGATTCATCTTTTTAAATACACAAAAGTCAGACAATAGTTAAATCAAGGTGTTAATTGTAGTTGGCAAACCACAGACATCATGAAGTTGCACTGTCTTAATGATGGCTAATTTTAAACAGTTCTCTTTCCTCTTTCCATCATTAAGGTCTTGAGGCATGTTCTATCTAGAAGGGTATTTCTCATCTAAAGCTCATCAACAATGTTGACAGATTCTGTGGTCAAATGGCATGATATTTTGAAATTATGCAATATACAAACATAAGTCTGCAATAATATGAGTTCCCTCAAAGAAAAAAAAGCAGTGCAAGTGTGAGCAACCAAAGAGGAAAGACTCGGAAGCCAGCTCATTCACTGAAGTTAGTTACATCAAATGATCACAATCTTAAATTTCAAACTGCTGTTTTATTATTGCCACATGGCGGCACCACCTTCGCTGGTAAACAGAGACTCCGCCATTCATTCAGCCATTCTCATCAGCATTGGTCTCCAATGGTGTGAGGTCTTCAGGGACATATCCTCTCCTAAAAGATATCAGTCCTATCCTCACCGCCACAGTCGCAGGGGTTGGTTCCCCCCATGTGCTTTTTCCAGTACAGCATATTTTTATAAATTCTCTTCACACATAAAACTTAGTTTTTAATTACTTTGTTTGCTTCTCAATGAAGAAGATTAATTAAAAGTCCCCTGAGAGCATAATGAGACTAGTGTATAAGCCTTGGAATTTCTTTCAAAAAGTTTGAGGACTGGAAGAGTTTTCTGAGGATACCTCATCGAACTCCTATCATACAGTTTCTACATCAACAGACCAAGAAACGGGATCTAAGTAACTAGTTAGGATAATGCAGGGGAGTGAGGGCAGATGGGACTTAGTTCTTTCTCCTGAGCCAACATGCCTCTGATACGGAGCACTAATTGCACTTGAAGGGGCTGAGTATACAAGGACACTTACGTGTGCCTCTACACACAAACCAGTGTGAAAAGAAAAAAAAAGCAGTCCAAGTGTGAGCAATCAAAGAGTAAAGACTCTGAAGCCAGTTCATTCACTGAAGGTAGCTAGTTCCTTTTGATTATTTATAGGGCCAAAGTGTAGATTTAATTTAAATCACTTCCGTTTGGCATCATGTATATTAAGCACTCAAACTGTTTTAACGTTTACAAACCCCTAAATCAAATATGACTATAAAATGGCTTTGAAGACATTGATTAGCTTAAGAAAATAATCATAAAATTCTCCCAACAATAAATGTGTTTCTGAGAGAAGCATCAGGCTCTTTGGAAAGTCTTATTCCACTACATGGCTCTAGTGTTGGCAAAGTCAAAACTATCTCAAATTTAGTGATCCACAACACTGAAGACAACTTCTTCATAGGAGCAGTAGTGAATCATTGCTTTAATATTTTTGTTAGGTACACAATCTGATTTTTTTTTTTTTAGAGTGTAGAATGGGCATTCTCTAGAAAATATTATTTTACCAAAGTGCTTGCTTCTCAAGGAAAGGGTGCTATATAGTTTCAGAAAAAACAAAACAAAACAAAACAAAACAAAACAAAAAACAAAGAAAAAAGAAAAAGAAAACTCACTGGGATCCTTTTGTAACATCAAATTGAGAGAAAAAAATTTTTTTATGCACTTGGCTTTGCTATTGAGTTCACTGGATAAAGATGCACGTTAGGGGAATCTATGTTTTAATGCGTTGTGTCCACTTCGTGTTAATAAGCTTGTGTCCACTCTACTTGGATCTCAAAGGTAACCCATCCAATAATGTAATCACAATCAGTAGAGACTTTACTAATTGGGAAATATAGCCTTTAATTCAGGAACATTTGAGAACTGCATTTTAGTAATTTCAAAAACACATAAGCTCATTGATAAAAACAAGGGAGACCAGAAAAGGCCTTTGAATCTTTTCTTGATTAAAAGCACTTTAGAGAAAGGTCTTAAATATTGCTTAGTGGGTAAGTTCTTCATTTAAACTGTGGTTCTCAGACTTCTGGGGGTGATCCCAGATTCCTCTAATAATCCAAATAAACTGAACCCATGGACTTTAGATCAATAATCCTGAACTGCCAGACTCATACCCTGAGCTCAGAGAAGTCTGGTAACCTGCTAAGAGTCACACAGCTCTTCATGCCTGCCTGTACTGTATTTCCTGATTCTGTGAAGAAAAGCAGCAACAACAAACTAGTGAACCCCAGCTCCTCAACTCTTAAAATGCATACAACCAGATACATATGGACAACAAGAGCACAGAGATTTAAAAACAGAACAGAAAAAAGTAACTTGAACAGAATGTGGCATTTCCCTTGGTCTGTTGCTAACGGCCCACATACAACATGCTTAAGAAAAACCCCACCCTGGCACTTTTTTTCATCATCATTTAAAAATGCTTCAAGTGGACATTTAGAATGTATGGCAATGGGGCTGTATCCCATCTGGGGATAAATGGAAATGAGTTTTATGGATCAGGGCTAGGTTTTCAGTGGCTGTCCTGCTAAAGATGATGTGTATTTGGTCTCTTCTCTCTGGTCATGCTTTAAAGACAAACACAATATTTTAATTGTATATTTTCAGGACTCCAAAGCAAGTGACATTAGACACTGCTTTTTGTAAAAATAAATAAATAAATAAATAAATAAATAAATAAATAAATAAATAAATTTTAAAATCCCTTCAGGATTTGAATATGTGAAGAAATATAAAAAGAATTACTTCTTTCTCTTTTTATTCTGTGCTTTCTTTCTTTCTTTTCTTTTTACTCTGAAGCTCATCACACTTTGTTTATAAAAATACAGAGACTCCTGCCTCTTAGTTGTTACCATTGGGATGGCTCTTTTCTGAATATTGTTCCAATTAAGGTTTTTCACACAAATTCTAAGGATTGGATAGCCCATATGCTCATGTACACTCTACATATAATTTAAAACTTCTCTACACCTAGACAAGGGTCCATATCCAGCCAGTGGTCTAGAGACCTGTTTTGATGCTCCTGTTGCCAATGAACACTTTCTACTGATAACTATTTAGAAAGAGTTTAAACAATTTTCATGACAACACTAAAAACAGCAAAAAAGTAATTGTGGCTAGTTGAAGTGAAAAACTGACCAATCATGGAATATATGTGTTCACTATTCCAGTAAGTCTAAATGGGGCTCATCTTCCCAGTTTTGCTCAGTCTCAAGTTTTTAGCCCTGAATGTTACCCTGAAGGCATTGTAGTATCATTCCCCCAATCTAAAAATAGAAATTATTCGATGGGGGGTGGGGGGTGTCTTTAGCCTTTACTTCCGGAGGATTCTAATAGTTCATTGCTAATCCTTCTTTTAATACTGCACACCTGGACACATCACACTGCATAATATACGCAGTTAGGCGTTGGAGAATTTATTCTACTTTACATACAATCCTCCAAATCCTCTGGCGAGTTTGACGTGAAATCTGACACCGCCAAGTCTCCCCAGCAGGATCTGCCTTTGCTCTCGGTGTTAATAGCCTAAGGCTGCAAGGATTCCTCCAGGGAGACGCGGTGAGGCTGAGTCTGGAAGAGGGGTGACTGCGGGGCTTGTTGCGCTGAAGATTTACAATGTACTTCTTGCAGGCGGCTCAGCAACCCCCTCTGTGGCTGTGGGTGTCTAGTGTGACAGAGGAGAAAAGCTCTCTAATCTCCCAGTGCCTGCCTCAGCCTCTCCGCCGCTCCCCTCCCTCCCGCCTCCCCTGCCTCCTCGCGCTCCCTCGCTCTCTCCTTTGCCTTTCTGCGGGAGTTTCAGTCCCTGAATGCAGCCAGAGTAGCCTGGGCCATCTAGACCGGGAGCCTGTGCACACGCACACACGAGCACACACATGCACACGCACTCACACGCACACACGCACTCTGGCTCTCCCCATGGGGATAGCGAGGAAACCCAGGGCGTCATCTACCTGAAGGGGATGGCCCGGCCTGGCACTTCTTGCTCACTTGTGTTCTCCGGCGGCCAGAGCCACATCGGAAAGGGGGAGGCTCGCTGTCCGGTCTGCAACCTTTCGCCGCCGGCCGCCGCCGCCGCTTAAAGTGTCCAGGGAGAAGAGAAGGCTCTTCCAGGACAGATTCCCGGCGCAGCTCTGCGGCCCTGGGACTTCACCCGGCTGGTTCACCCCAGTCGCTTCCTCCCCGGCCATCCGCTCATTCCCGGCTGCGGGGTGCCTGGCTCGGGCGCCTCATCTGCTGCTGCCGCCGCCTCTGCTGCTGCGAGCACAGCCCACCCAGAGGACCGAACGCCGCCGCTGGAGTGCGGAGAGAAAGCGGAAGCCCTAACTTCCCTCTCCACCGCTCCCGGTCCTTCCCAGCCAAGGACCCGTGGGAAGGCTCCGGCGGAGAGCCGGGCGATTGCTCGGCGCAGGGGAGGGCGAGCCGGGAGCCGCCGGCGCACAGGGGCGGGGGCAGCAAGTGCCCGGGCGCCCCGCGCTCGCCGGAGAAGTAGCGCGCCGTTGGGACGAGAGAGACGCTTTCCAAGTTGGGCGCGTCCCAGAGCTCGCCGCCCCGCGCCTCGGCCGCCGCTGCCAGGAGAGAGGCGGGGCTGATGGGGGGCGCGGAGGGTGCTGTCGCCCGCGGCTAGAGTCCGTCTTAAAAGCGCCCGGGCCAGCATCCCCAGGGTCCCGGCTGGCGTCGCGCCCTCTGCCCGCGTGCGCTCGCTGATGCCTGCGCTGGCGGCGGCCCGGGTGGCCAGCCCGCGGGGGGTGCTGGAGGGGGCGGGGGAGGGGGAGGAGGCAGTGTGATGGCCCTGGACGGCGAGCGGGGGGAGCAAGAGGAGGAGAAGAAAAAGAAGAAGAAGAAAAAGAAGAGGAAGAAGAAGAAGGAGGAGGGGGCTGAGAAGAGCCGCTCACCCTTCGCGGCCACGATGGGGGAGAACGACGCCGCGCTCCGGACCGGCGGCAGGGGGCTCTCGGACCCGTGGGCGGACTCCGTGGGGGTGCGACCCCGCACCACCGAGCGCCACATCACGGTGCACAAGCGGCTCGTCCTGGCCTTCGCCGTGTCCATCGTGGCGCTGCTCGCGGTCACTATGCTCGCGGTGCTGCTCAGCTTGCGCTTCGACGAGTGCGGGGCCAGCGCGGCGCCGGGCGCAGACGGCGGCCCCGCCGGCTTCCCGCCGCGCGGTGGCAACGGGAGCCTCCCGGGTTCTGCCGGGCGCCACCACCCAGCTGGCGGGGACTCCTGGCCGCCGGAGGCCACCCCTGGGACCCCGTCCGCCCAGCCGCCGTCGGAGGAAGAGCAGGAGCCGGGGCAGCCGTGGACGCAGCTGCGCTTGTCCGGCCATCTCAAGCCGCTCCACTACAATCTGATGCTCACCGCCTTCATGGAGAATTTCACCTTCGCCGGCGAGGTCAACGTGGAGATCGCGTGCCGGAACGCTACCCGCTACGTCGTGCTGCACGCCTCCCGGGTGGCCGTGGAGAAGGTGCAGGTGGCCGAGGACCGGGTGGCCGGGGCTGTCCCGGTGGCCGGCTTCTTCCTCTACCCGCAGACCCAGGTGTTGGTGGTGGTGCTGAACAGGACCCTGGACGCGCAGAGGAACTACAACCTGAAGATCATCTACAACGCCCTGATCGAGAATGAGCTCTTGGGCTTCTTCCGCAGCTCCTACGTGCTCCACGGGGAGAGAAGGTACGGAGGGAGGCGGCGCCCGGCAGCGCCCCACCCCACCAGGCTGCTCTAACCGCTGGGCTGCCGGCGACCCCGGGAACCGCCTGGCGTCCGATACCCGGGCAGGGAAGGGTGGGGGAGAGAAGTGAAGGTGGGGTAGGCTGATCACCCAGAACCCTCAGGGTCTCCCAGATGCCAGAGCTCTCACTGTTGCCAGCTCCACAAACTCACTCACCAGTGGTGAACCTCTCCCCGTCCAAGTTCCTTAGCCAGCCAGCGCTCGCCTCTTTTTTTTTTAAGGCAATCTGAGAGATTGGTAATCTGAGAGATGCCAAGGTAACGTCAAAAGTCTGCTAAGTTACCATCGAGGAAATACAAGTTAGCGACAAAAGGCCAGGGCAACTGCTCATCGGGGAGATGTCAGCGCAGGAAAAGGCAGGGCAAATCCCCTTACCCCCCAAATGCCCACCTCGCCTATTATCTGGCAGGCACAGAGCAGAGAATGGGCTTCAGCTGCATAAAGTTTTCCAAAACTGGAAGTTGAGGTTTAGAGTAGTAAGAGAGAGCCAGTCCCGTGACAGACTAAAGGGGCGGGGCCGGTGAGTACCTCCGCGCCCGGTGCCCCCAGCTCCAGCCTAAGGCTAGTGACTTCCAGGTGTTTGTTCTGGAGTTTCTGACTCCTTTGGTGAAAGGAGGGAAAGCTAGCGGCCAGTCTCAAATGCCTTGCTAGCGAGTGCCTTGATGATGTTTAGATTTGGGCAGTAATCTTTTATTTTTTGAGAGTCTGGCTCCACTTGTTAGAGCTCAGACTTGGGAGTCTAACAGCACGGGGTTCAATCCCAGCCGCAGACTTGAGCAAGCAGATGAATCTGAGTCACCAACACCTGACTACCTCTAGTGCTTATTGCGTAATGTATAACAGATGGGGAAATGAAGGCACAGAGAACTCAAGTAACCTGGCACGTAGCCCACAAAGCAGGGCTGTGTGGCTCCAGAGCCCATGTTTTTATTTTTAATTTGGGGATGATAATAATGATACTATACTCAGGATTGTTGCAGGTGTCCATAAACTAATACACTAAAAATCACTTGACCCTATACCTGGCATTTAGAGTATTCATTGTAAATGTTAGCTATTACGAGTGTCCGTGGTAGTAAGCCCTCAAGCATATTGCTGAGTGAATAAAAAAGTTATTCTTGCTTTTTGCCCTAATCAATGACTGTAGGATTTATGAACAACCAAAGAATGAAATTGGCAACCTTAGAAGTTGAGGAAGGTTGGATATTAGTAATGATGCCACTGGCAGAGCCTCCTTTGTTCTCAAGTCATTCTCCCAACTGCACAAAACTGGGCTCTGAGCAGCCAGGGTGCCTGAGGGCTGCAGGCTTGTCAGTGGAGAGCTGGGCCTTGAACTTCGGTTTTCTGATTTCTGGGCTAGGGCTCATGTTGTCTGAAAACTCCCAGAAGTTATTGTGTAAGAGGCTGGGGAAATTCTAGTGTGTTAGGGAGAACACTCTATTTATAGAGTACTATGAAGTAACCTCATATAAATAAATTGTCCAATGCTTTAGTAGTTGTATGATAGTTAAAATCTATAAGTGAATGTATAAATTATTCATTCTCCTAAGATCAGATGTGGACAATTTAAATCCCCTTCCACCACTTCCTCCAACATATTCTAAGGCAGTGGTTCTCAACCTTCTAGCCCTTTAAATACAGTTCCTCATGTTGGGACCCAACCATAAAATTATTTTCATTGCTACTTCATAACTGTAATGTTGCTACTGTTATGAATCGTAATGTAAATATCTGATATGCAGGGTGGTCTTAGGCGACCCCTGAGAAAGGGTCGTTCGTTCGCCAAAGGGGTCGCGACCCACAGGTTGAGAACCGCTGTTCTAAGGCATACAGATTAAACCCAGGACCATATCAAATGTAGGGTAAAGGCAGAGAAGGCAAATTTGCATGTTAGGTTTAGAAACAAACTAGCTGTATCAAAATGTCAGTAGTGGGAGCTGCATATCATTACTGATCAATCTGTGGTGAAGTAAGTACTTTCAACAAATCCTGTTTTTGGAGCCATGCCAAAATAGATTTGGTAGAACTGAGCTTGTTTTTGGTCAGTGCTTTCAAATTAACAGGACTCTTCAAAAAGACCAGATGTTTCTGCTTGACCCTAACTGATTTCTTGTGCCCATGGTGCATATTCACACTCTCTTCTTAAGGCTTCTCCAAAGATGCAGATAACTTGGTTGAAAGTTTAGTGCATATGTGGCTAAACTCTGCATCCCAATAGAAATGTGGAATTCCATGTTTCTGGAGATCCTAGTGTGGTTTTATTTCTAAACAGCATCTTAGAGAAAGTCTTGTTTCCCCCCCCTTTTTTTGCCACCTTGCATACCAGAGTGAATATGATAATTTCTTGGATGTTGATAACTGGAGTTGATAAAGCAAAAGAAATGGAATAAACTATTTCACAGTTATCTCAACATTATACATATTAACTTTTATCTTTGATTGTTGTTATTACTAGAACAACTGGGAGCATTTTTAAACATGCCATTATCGGGAACTCAGCCAGGGTTGAACTTTTATCGGTGATGTTTTCATCCCCAAAATGCAATGTAAATAGACATTTTCAAACACACTTTCCAAAAGGACACCGATGCAGACTCAGACTTTTCGTTTGATTAATGATTAAATATCTTGGTTTCTAGTAAGTCATCATTTTTGCCAATTTAATTATCAGATAATTTCTGCAATGAAAATAAATACTTAATCTGCCGATGAGGGGTCACGCTAAGCAACTTGAAATATTTAAAAGAGTAATACTACAATTCAGTCCCCTTCACCCGTGTGGAAACAACTCCTTTATATCCCAATCTGATTTTTCAACCCCTTGCTCAGAGGTCTGAGAGAAACAATTTGGGTGAGGGCAGGAAAATTAGATTTCAACATGTGCCCTGTACCTTTGAGCTCTGGAAGGTTTTGGAGGGGGCCGGTCCTGTCCTACAGGGAAGACTTCCCTTTCCTGGCTCCCATACTGCCCTGGAGAAAGGTTGGAAGACAAGTTCCCCATTGAAGCCCAAAGTTTCTCTATTTGAGGCAAATCCTCTCGTTTCTGTTGGCCATTTGGCTAAAGGGAAAATGTATCTATCACTTGTTGAATATTGCAAATAAATAAATAAATAAATTCTCTTAAATTTGAAATGTTTACACACAGCAGTAAATTATCTCCATTAGGCAGAATACACAGTCGCTTTTTCCTCAAGTGAGTGTGTAACAGGCAGATAAAAAGGGTGTGTATTTATGCCATAGAATTCTATAGTAGAATATACTTGCTCAGAATTAGGTAAAATGTTCATTTACCTGAAGTAATTGCCGCTTTTGGGTAGCCAGATGGTGAGCATACCCATGTTCAAAGTTGGGTACCTTAATTTAGATCCAGATGGTCTGATTGAAAGAGGAGATTTACCAAAGTAAATGAACATTTTATTCACTTTCAAAAGGGAGACTGTTTTTCTTTGACAAATCTTTGATTGGGTCTATAACATGCCACAGTGCCAGAAGACAGCATAAAAATAGGTCTTTTTCTATCAAGGATTATTTAGAGAGAAACTGTGATCTCCAAGTAAAATGGGAAAATAACATTGCAGTTTTCTAAAAGAATTGCAAAAAAGACAAAAACAAACAAACAAACAAAAGAACACACACACACAAAAACCCAAAACACGCTTTCGTGGAGAGCACAGAAGTTTTTATGGGTAGGCACTTGATCTTTTGTTGTATTAGTATATAGGCTTTCATCTCTTGTCCTTTTTTTTGAAATGAATTAATTAGTAATCATGATATTTAATAAAAGCAAGAAAACTACCACATTGCTTTTATGTTGAAAGAAACTTCATCTCTCCCAGTCAGTCCCTCTGGTGAGGAAGTAGCTTTACATGAATAAGTTGCTGTATGTAGCTTTTTGCCCCCTACAGAAGGCTCTGAATGGAAAATTCTGCGAGAACTTCTTTATATGGTTCCTTAATGGACTTAGCTCATTGTTTTCCTGTCAGGCACACATAACCATATGGCCAAATTGAGTCCAATGCTGCTGAATTTTGGTCTCAATTCAAAATGCCACCACTAATCTAAATCTAGAAAATATTTTTTAAAAAAACCTTTGACCATTTCATGAATCAGTCAGGGAGGAAAATCCATAAAATGGTGTTTGCCTTGCCGTGTTTTTTTCCATGGTGCCATCTGATTTGATCACCCTGGAGGGTAATAAAGTATACAGTTTCTCTAAAAGAGTTAAATTAGTTCGCCCATGTTTTTATTTATTCAGAGCAATTCCAAACAGGGCCTATTTTCTCTGGATCTCTTTCAAGCAAAGCAGGCCTGTAACTGGCTTCCCTGCATTTGTTTGGTCTGCACAACATGTTTATTTCCTTAAACCAAAGTTTGCCGCGGAGTCTGTGGATGGGTTTGAGACAACAGTACCAGGCATCAGTGTAGGTTTGCCAGAAGATGGTGACATTGGTTGATAAGATCACAAGTCTAAGACTCATTTACTTAAGCATGACTTCAAAGAATGATATAGAAAAAGTGAGGAAGAAATGATTTACCTTTAATGCATACGTGTTTTATAGTCTGTAAGGAAGGGCATCCCTCCGTCACCCTGTATTCACCCCCCAGCCACCAGCGATAATCATCATCATCGCTGTCAGTGTTGCTTTCAATTTCATTGCGTGTCCTTTACATCCTTTCAGATTTGCAATAGTGGCTGGGTCCCTCCAGATTTTCAAAGTCCCATGCAACCCTGTTTTCTGCCACTAGGGAGTGGATGCTTTCTCCAATAGAGAGAATTTTACTGCATAGAATTTGGGAGGACATAAAAATGAAAAATACTCTCTGCTTTTCTCAACTTTCTGGGACAATATGAAATGATTCATAAACAGGCACAGCTAGATGGTGGTGGCTGGGCTGTGAGGTTAGAGGAAGATGGGCAAGATTGAGTGGGGCTGAATCGGGG